GAGTCATTGAAATGATAAAACACGCTTAAACTGTGTCCATATGCTGTGTTTGTATGAGGACTAGCTCAATGCTGCATGCTGCAGCTCTACAAAACACAAGTCTCTTATTTTTGTCATGAAGGGCTCTGGGATAATGAAAGACGATGTTTCATAATACTGTCAGGATCAAATGGATGAATATTGCAGTGTTGTATTTTTTACAACATGTATTGCGTTGCTGTGATGCAGGAGGTGTGAGTGAGTGTGTGTGTCAAAGATGAAAAGGGTTTTTCAAGCATCGACACAATAAAAGTTTAATATAGCTTTATTATTAGAAGACATTGAAATGTCATTAATAGTCAACAGTAGTTCATGTAAACAAAATGTTGTCAGGTTTTACCCATTTGATCAACAAAAAGTTTTTAATCATTAAACCATGTTTTTAATCATTTACAATTGAGTATGATCACTTTTTCTTTTATGTTTTAAGATGCTGAATGACAAATGGAATGTTATTTCACCCATATTTCGACATTTTATTTTCACAAAAGTTATTTGAAACTATAAAGTAGACATTTTACTTGCATATAATATGCTTTTTCTGTATGTAAAATCTCTTTTGTAAATTTCATTTGAGGCATGGTGTTGAGAAAAGAAAGAACATCTGTTACTGTTTGCTGTATGACAGAAGAAGGGGGCATTTTACAGCCTAATAGCAATAAATGTAGCCTGTCGCTGCAGTTTAATATGCAAACTGAGGATTTTACTTAGTATTCAGTATAAAGGAATCAGTTACGTATGATTTTTTGGCATCGAGCTGTGACGTGCTGTCACCTTTGATTGTCAATATGATCTGTGTAAAGTTTGTGACAAGGTCTTATTAAATATTTAAAGGCCTGTCTAATTTTTCCACCGAGGTTTCTAGTGGCTGCCACTGTAAGACAATCCCATATCACACCAGTTTAATTTACTAATGAGCACTGAAAACTGTAGAAAGAATTTGACATTTGTGTTTTCTTCTCTTTTCCAGACATCAAGACCTTTATTGTTGAGAAAAGCCATGTATAAGGACACTGACATTCAACTAAGAGGTGTCTAATGTTATTATTTCTGCATAGACTGAAGATAAAGCTTAAAGGAATAGTCCATTAAAAAATGAAACATTTCTGAGCATTTACTCATCCTCAGGCCATCCAAGATTAGGATGAGTTTGTTTCTTCATCAGATTTGGAGAACTGTAGCATTGCATCACTTGCTCCCAAATGGATCCTCTGCAGTGAATGGGTGCCGTCAGAATGAGAGTCCAAACAGCTGATAAAAACATCACAATAATCCACAAGTAATCCACACCACTCCAGTCCATAATTAAAACGTTTTAACTTCAAACCATTGCTTCTGGCCAAAATATGAGTCCATAAGAGGAAGCAACGGTTCAAAGTAAAAAAAAAGTTATTGTGGATTATTGTGATGTTTTTATCAGCTGTTTGGACCCTCATTCTGACAGCACCCATTCACTGCAGAGGATCCATTGCTGAGCAAGTGATGGATTTCTCCAAATCTGACATCTTGGATGACCTGAGGATGAGTACATTTTCAGCAAATTTTCATTTTTGGTTGACCTACTTACCCTTTTAATAAACATATGTCTTGTATTGATTGCATACTAGTGAAATAAGGATCTCTCTTCTCCTTGCAGTGGCGTCATTCGGTTGTCCGGAGGAAGTGACGTTCTCCATTCAGTGGTTTCTGAAATACTACCCCTGTCACAATGAGTACAACAATATTGAAGTGAGTGGCAGCTGTTTGCTTCTGAAATCCTTAAAGCATGTGTGTGATACTCTTTGTAATTATTATTATTATAATTATTATTAATTAAATTATACTCTTTGTTTGTTTATCATTTGTTTATTTGCTCGCTCAGGAGATGTATGAAAGGACGCCACTGAGTCTAGGAAAGAGTCTGGACCCGAACCCTCTCGGACCCGGACAGTATATTCAGCACAAATACAGGGAGTTATCCTGCCGCAGTGACATGCACATGTTCCCCATGCTCAATGTACGTTCACACTGCTTGATTTCAGTCAGTAATATATGTCTTATTTTCAGCTTGACCTATTTCTGTCACCTTTATTGAGAAAAATAAGCCACGGTCAGTGTTTTTAGCATTATTAATATTCTATTATATTCTATCATATTTATTAATATTTTGAATAAGCTTTTAATTTGATGCCTTTCAGTTTTCATTTTAATTTCATTTATTTTTCATTTTGTATATATATATATATATATATATATATATATATATATACAGTGGGGCATTAATTTGAGTAAAAATGTGTTTTCTTTACCAAGAAAGTGGCAAGATGAAAACCACTATTTTCTGTTTCAAACTTTCACATAGCATCTTTAGGTTATAATAACATTAAAACTTCAAATCCAGATTTAGATTTTCAAAAATGTATTATAAAAAAATTATTGATTGATTATTTGAATTGATAATTTTTTCCCGAAATGCAATAAATCCATTGAATCAATATAAAAGTTATTTTTCATATTGAAACTGTTGAAAATACACAACATAGTAAGTTGATCCACATATGACAGCCTCTGAACTTGGTCAATACTAATCTTATTAATTGCTTACATTTCTTCCCCACCGCAGAAACCACCACAGGTTCATCAATGCCCTTAAAATTATTCTTTTTTTTTTTAGGGCTGCGCGATAAATCACATGCGATTGTCATGCGCATCTCGTCAGTAAAGCCGGTTCTGTTAATCTCCATCACGTGCTTTCAGATGGAGCGGCATTTAATACACAGAGCCGTAGATCACTGACAAGCTACGCAATATC